GGAATGCGGCCGATAAAAACACAATTTGTCAGGTGAGGGACCATCTCACTATCGTTAAAGTGAAGCGTAATATACAGTACACTGGTATAAACAGACAGCGGAACTCCAGTCTCTTGATTTGTTGCCTGAAGCTCGAGAAAGATAGAAAGATGGGAAGATGGAAGGGAATGAAGGATGATGTATGGTGTATGAAAAGTGTGTAGCGAAATTTATTGAAAGACTATGACAAATAAACCGTGGCGTTGTTTTTTTCTGTTTGTTTTTTGCTGTCTCTTTTTAAAAATAATTAACTCCGAAGCTTAAAGGATTGCTTTCCTATTCTCAAAGCAGCCTTTTCGTGTTGTCTTTCTTATGGGTGATAACAAACATGGGTGCGGGGTGCAATACACTGATTCTGTGAGAATTATTTCTGTCGATCAATTTCATTTGTCGTGTATTTTAAAATTTTGCGATTGTTTTTGCTACTGCGGTTGTGAACTAACGATATATCATTGCTCGGCTGAGAAAACTGTGTTATTTTACACATTAAAAATTCAATTTGATTTCCTAAGATCTTTTGGTGTGTTTTTTAAAATAATTGACAGAAATATTTTTCACAGACGACAAGGCTGAAAAGCAGGACCAAGGAGCATATATAACGAAGGTAGCACAGACAAGGCAAATACCAAGAGGCAACGAACAGTCACCGGTCGTCGGCAAGCCCGAGCAAACTCCTATAACACAGAGGCCAGTGAAGTGGCCTGCACAAGTGTGCCACTACGCGCTGCTCAGACTTTTGCCCGACGAAAGCCCTCCAAAGCGGCACCCCATTGGGCCACCCCACTGGCCAGCCCGCACTTACTCGGACGCCTGTGCGAAGGGCATGCCCTGAAATGAGGAGCTCAGGGTTTCTGTGTACATCTCCAGAGCCGTTCCCCTCAGATAGTCATTTTGCCAGCCTTGCATGTTGGATGTGGCGACGAGGTGGGCCTTGCGTAGCAACACAAACAGTATGAGCAGTGGGACTCGAGGTATGTTAAGTTAGCATGGGTCACCCTGTAAACTTGAAAGAGCTGGTTCTGGCACAAATGATAGGTTTTAGTCATGAGGACTGCTTAAAGATGAAACCTGGACTAAGTAGAACCTTTTAAAAGCGATTATATGGAGTTGTCGGTGATATTTAGTTGCATGAATTGAATGTGTACCCGTCTGTTCCAACGGTGGGACAGCCCCACTGTTTAAACAATGGGATAAGATGTCCCAATGTGGCAAGAGAGGGTCCCGGCTGCTCTATGGTTGCAACAGTGGGAATTCGTGCCAACAATTGGACGGTGTCACCGTGGCAACCATAGAACAGCCTGTACAGTATAGATCTAAGCATTAAAAGTTAATTTAAAAAAAATGAGACTTACCGTTTTAAATGATCGCATAGCAAATAAATTGGCCATCATAGTAGAGAATCCTGGGGCTAAACAGCTTTGTGCAATGAACCCTAACTTCAGCTCAGCCAGACAAATGACGTCATCGCCCCTCTTCCAGTCCCAGGATGGAATGTTCAACAAGTATGCCTTAAATTTTAAAGAGCACGTAAATTAAGAATCCATTTGTGACATTGCCACTAAATCAAATACATGGCTAAAATTTACCTTGTTGTGATACTGCATTAGTTGAATGATGACTCGAATGTCGTCAGAGTAGTTTTTGATAGAAATAACTCTCATAATATTGGCAGCGTCTTCTGCATCAGGGTCCTGGCAGTATTTGTTCGCCAAAACCAAGCATGCGTCTGCCTCGTGAACCTATGATAAAGAAAGAGGCCTGTATCTACGTTCTTTTTAAAACCCAGCATCGCTCTTAGCATAATTCTTTCAAAAGATAGACATTTATTTTGTCAGAGAGATCGAATTTCACAATAAGTAACCGTCTTTTAATTGATCTCTTTTTTAAAGACATTTTAATTAATCATATCTCAGAAAAAGAAGAAAAAAATACAATTACTTATGATTAAGTTACGACAAATCTACAACTCTTAGTAAACACTGTAATACTCATTAAAAATGTTGACAAATATAGAGGCATGCATAATATAAAAAAGCATTTACCTATCTCTAGTCAAAACATGCATTTTCGTGAAGCTTGTAGAACTATCATGTTCAGCCCTCGTAATTTTACACATTTTTTCTAGATTTTCTCTTTCAGACTTAAAGATATAAAGTAAAGTAATTTTCAAGATTTTTTTTCTACGCGCCTCGTAATATAGTTGTTACAGAATCTTAAACGCTAAGAAGCCCAATATTTGCATAAATCTTGATGTCACGCGTACATCTGTTCTACCCAGACCGGTATCAATGCAGCATGCAGAGGAGTAAGGCATGGGAGTAAGGAAGGGGTGTAGCGAAAGAACAGAAAAAGACTCGGCACTTACCGCCAAAAACGGACGACGAGTGTTTTTTTAAAAAAGGTATGAGATGGAGCAGACGTTTCTTTGAGATCACTTCTTAAAAGAGCTGAACACTATTCCTTGACTTTGTGGGTGGCATTGGGAAACTTCTGACCGACTATAGCGAGGGCAGGTGGTGGAACGCGACTGTGCTGGCGTCCGTTCGCATGTCCAAGCCAAAGTTTCGCCTCGGCAACCGCAAATGGTGCGTTTAAAAAGTCTCTTAGCACAGCCTCAATCGGTTGCAATCGTGTGTAGAATTACGGTAAAGCTTTAATGTTCAGTTGAGGGGTCGTTGAGGTCGCCGCGCTCCACCGCCATCCTCACTATTGCTCGCATCGTGTTGCCACCCACCGCTTAACAGTCTTTTAATTTAAGTAGTTTTTATTGTCCCTTGCCTAACCTCTTTTGTCTCTCAAGTTTTTACCTCAGATTTCAGTTAAACTACGTTAAGCTCAAAGGCAACCGCAATTGTTGGTCGAAATATTACAATAATTGTATAGTTAAGTTATTTATGAGACTATAAACAAACTTAATTAGTAATTTCATTAGCTCTTGAATTCAAGGTAGGTTTCAATGTCGAACGCAATTATTCTAAAGTTCCATCAATTCTGCAAAACCCATTTTCGTTTTTTTCTTGATAAGTTGAGGTTTTGGCCGGAGCATTGTGAGAGGGAATTTAGAATGAGACAAGGCAGAAAGGGTTGCATGCAGGCGGGGCTAGAGGATCCACACCAAACGCCAGGGGAAAAGGAGCTGAAACAGTTTCAACGAGGCAGTACACGGCCATTCTTGTGTCCACGCAGCGTCACAGGCTGGTCGGGAAAGCCAGTTAGTATGGCAATTTAGAGTACGTTTTGGAAATTTAAAGGTGACATTATTCAACCGCAAGGCCGGTCTGCTGTGCCTCTGGTCGGCCGCCTCTGCTGCTCTCTGTAAACAATGTGACGGTCCTGGTGAGGTTTCGTGCATGCATGGACCAGCAGCTTGAGATCAGAAGACGGTAGAATGCAACATAGACTTTCAGAAAGCAGGAAGTCACGAACCGGCACAAGGTTGACAGTGCATCCCCTTTCGGGAAAACTCAGTGGACATTTATGGGTGGTGTGCAACACTTCGTGCGACGTCTCTGTCAGTTAGTACTACTAAGTCGCAGCCGCCGCGCCGTGCTCTCTCGCTTCCTCTGGTCCAGCTCCTGCGTGACTCAAACTCTGCTCGGCCCGCTCGTCAACTCTTGTTTCGTCTCTTTCATAGTAAATCTCCTGAGACCATCCGTACTTCCACTTTTTAATCAACTGAATCGCATTTTGTGGGATATTACTTTTTCTGGAAATCTCTGATAACTGCAGATATAATTATTAAGATCAAAACAAAAAAAAGGCAGCTCATATTTTATTTGGGTTTGAAATTTATATGTGAAATTTAAAAAGCGAAGATTGCTTTCCTCCCCCATAATCGATAAGTTATTGCATGTCTTTACATCAATTCGTGGGTTAAAGTTGAGCGTTTGACATAGAGAAATTATTTCTGACATTCCTTGCGACAAAATTTTATTTCGTTTGAAACGTGTCTAATTCTGCCCTACCCAAGTAACCTAGGTCTCGAGCGCGGGCCGGCTGAGCATTAGGCCCCAACTACACACTTTTCTCCCCGTATGTTTTGGACGCACCCATCTGGGGACGGAAGTGCCTTACCTTCACCCTCTGGAGGTCTATCGGGTTCATTATAGAGCCTTGGAAGAACTCTACTGTTGTGAAGTGTCTCTTGAAAAGTCCTTCTAGCTCCAAGTCCGGCGGCTTTCTAGCTCACCACAACAAAACATTACAATAATTAAGTAGTAAGTTTTGATAAAAAAGAAAAAAGTGCTTCTACTAGAGTGGAGGGAAGTAGGTGAGTGGAGCGCTGGGAAGTGTAAGGCTGCTTGGTAAAAAAAACATTTCTATCGACGAAAAAAACGCTTTTCATATCACAAAAAAGAGTCATAAACTCTAGTTTAAAACATTCCATTACCCGTCTACTGCTATGTCTATTTGCCTATGGCTAGAAGATCTCTAACTAAACGTCTGAGGTCTTTACATGTCTCTGGTCAAAGGGCTTAAATTGATAGCGCACTGTGAAAATATATTTTAGAACTACTGGAAATAACCGTTAAAAGAACCGCGCTCCTTAAGGCTGATCGAAATTTAGGGTTAAGTGGAGTATACGGAACGGAATTGATGCCAATTGTAATGTGATTTTAAATTTATATTCCCCAGGAAAATGTAGTTCAATTTCTGTCCCGTTTTAGTACGGGCTAATAGTGCTTTTACAGGGTATTTAGTTTATGGATTACGAGGGGTGTCATAATCATGTTACAAGCATTACTCCACACCAACTCACACCCTCACAAGACCAGGAGGCTGCATTCTCGTTGGCAGTAAACAGGTTCGGGCGTCACAATGTCAAATCGTTTCAAAAACGTGTCAGCAACAAGTGGTAGTGATGTGCGCAAATCAGCCTTACAAGGTAACAATTTCTGCCAGGTATTTTACCTTAACTCTTTCTAGATCTACAGCATTCATCATAGTTCCCTGAAAAAACTCCACAGTGGTGTAGTGTCGTTTGAGAAGCCCCTCTAGCTCCAGATCTGGTTCTTTCCTGTAAGAATAGGTTTTGGCTCTAGTCTCGACACACACCACACACCTTTGGTAATACAGCTGACGAAGCAGGAGACAGTTGTGGGTTATTGGGGAACTCAAATAAATGACTAAAGGTGGGAGGTTGGATGTGGGAGAGAAGGGGTGGGAGAAGCAATCAAATAATGGCTCAGTCGTTATAGGAAGAGCAGGTTTGGAAGTGCGTTTCGAACAAAAGATGACTTTTGAATTTAAAAAGGCAATCTGGATAGTACCGAGCCATGATGATTTCTAAAATGTCTACACACTAAATTTTGTGTAAGTCGTGTGCACCCGATAGCTAAAACACAGGGACTATAAAACAGAGTTTCACAACCATCCCTAACGTAATCATAAGCCTTTCTGTCAACTCTTTTACTTTGAAGTCAATTATGACTGTACGAAAAGAAGCATGACAAAA